ATAACACAGACAAAGTTATGGTGGCACATTATTTATACATAGGAAGAACACTTGCGATTGTTAACCAATCAAATGGAAAGGTTGCCATGCTGAGAGATTTTCAGTAACAATTTCACTAAATGTTTCAATGTCATTCATGATGAGTTTTGTAAGCCATGTCTCGTTACAGTGTCTTCATCTACAAGTTAAAGAAATAGTTCACTTAAAAATGAAAATGCTGTCATAATTTACTCACCCTCAAGTTGTTTCAAACCTGTATGAATTAAGCTGAACACAAAGAAAATACTATGGAATCAATGGGGTATAACAATTGTTTGGTTACCGACATTCTTCAAAATATCTTCAGGTACAACTTGAGGGTGAGTAAATTATGACAGAATTTTCATTTTTAAGTGAACTATTCCTTTAACGGAGAAATAGATGTTTATGCTTGCCTTTTTAGAGCACACAATGTTCCACTTGTTCACCCAGTAATAGCCTAAAGTTGTAAACCATGTATTAAGCCAGATTTATCTAAATCTGTATCTGTTCCATTAACTTAAAATAGCAAATGAGGTGAAATGCCTCTTTGCAATCTGCTGTAAGTGAAGGACATTATTAGATGTCATCCAAGTAACATACTATTCAAAAAAACACAAAGGTTCTGTTCAGTCATGCTTCATTTTACAACCTTCGTCACAGTCCATCAAGTCCCACGGTTCATGTGAAATACTTTTATGTGTACAACAACTTTCACATTGGAATATTAACAAAAGAGTAAATCAAGAATTTCTTAATGCCGACAGAAAGCTTAAAGGGATGATTCTTGAAAAATTCAAATAAATTTGTCATTGCATTAGAGAAGCATACGAAATATAAAAAAATAAAATAAAACATATATACATTTGACAGTTGTTCACATGTGCATAGCCTAGATTAGTTTGATTAATTTGAATTGGTTTACCCATGCAAGACATGACAAAGTAGTTCATTTACGAGAGACACATCTGAATTATACTTGAAGTAGTCTATTCTGCAGACATTTTATAAATCAACAATTATTTGTTATCCATTCAAAAATACATTCTATGCTAACTAATTTCATTTCTAAATATATTTATAATACTAATCTGCTGTATGCTACTGTGGTGGCAAATAAATTTTACTTCATGTAATGTATGTGCTTGCATGACAACAGACAACTGATCTTGAAAATGACTACCGTACTGTATGCTATTTCAAATGTCAGCTTGTATGAGCTGAAAGGATCTCTGCAACTAAAAAGGTGTTATATGTGCATAGTTGGTCTAGAGAATGAGAGATGTTTTTGTCTCCTTATATAGATCTTCTTTCTCAATTAACATAACACGAAAACAGCAGAGTGAGGTGTGAGTGATGTATAAAAAAGTTTTTAATGCGAGTTTTCCCTTCGCCGCTTTCGCAAAACTGATGTCTGTATGTGAATGGCCTTCTTGCAAGGATAAAGTACTTCAAATACAAGTGGGCTTGGTTTTCGTTGCAGTCTCATCACTAAATAATTAATTTACATAACACTACAAATTACATATAAAGATTCCTCTATCAGAAAAAAAAACTAAGAACAATATAAATAAGGTTTAAAAGGGAGAAAAAAGCATGAATTCACATTTTAACAATTCAATTCACAATACAAGTTTACAATTCAAAGGCGTAGAAAGTTATGATATTTTGATTTTGAAAGCAAATGAGGTCAATTTCATGTTAACTTAAAGGAAAAAAATAAAGCCTGTTTAGATAGAAAGTCTGTTTCTGAATGAATAATATATGAATATTTAGGTCCTGTCCCCACATCATTCAGGATTCATACTAGCATCTATTCACTAGACGCAGTATTTATGTTTCGGTATTTACATAATGTAACCTGTGTGTTTTAGTAAATAGAAATGGATGAGATACATTGACACATCCTGGATAAACATTATAAAAACGATACTACTAAAAATAAATGCCCCTTTCCTCCTCAAAATGCAGAAGTATATCTGCTTTTGTGTTTTAAGGGCTTAAATTGAAATTGAATCTGTATAAAACAGGACAAACATGCACGTTCTCTGTTTTCCTTCTCACCAAGTTCATAAATACAACTAAATACAAGTTTATCACAGGTATGATAGTGCAATTTCAGTAAAGCATGCAAGGACATTTCTCCAGGGCCCTACGGCTGGTTACAGAGTGCTATGAGAAGAAAAGGCGTCACAGTGTAAATACTGAATGCATACAGATCTCCAGGCCAGCTTTCATTAAATACATTGATTAAAAGCATTATTTTGCTAATAGTATGTGTGTGTTGGCAAATAATTTTACAATATTGCATGAATGATGTGCTAGGATTGCAGTTGCATAAATCGTAAACCTGCACATTATGAACGCGGCAGGCTGGCTTTGGACATAGAGCTTTGCACGCTACACTTTTATGGACAGAATCGTGGCTACTTTCTAACAAAGAGCTTTATTTTGTCTAATAATCTGGATGTAGACTTAGTGTGTTTGTAAAATGCCTGATGCCTGGACGTTCATCAGCAGTGTTGGGGAAAGTTACTTTTAAAAGTAATGTTACAATATTGCATTACTCCCTATAAAAGTAACTAATTGAGTTACTTTTATGAAAAGTAATAGGTTGTGTTAATTTTGCATTACTTTTTCTTGCTTGTTTTTTAATAACAAATTTTTTTTTTTTAAAGGCCTTTTCACACCTGTACAGTAGAGGGCGCAGCTCAAACAAACCTTTCAGCTGTGCTGCCATTCTGGAGTAATTCAACACTCTTCAGCAACAAAAAGAAATTAAATTAAACACAAATATTATGTTTATCTAAAGTCATTGACGGTCAGCAGCAAAGACACTGGGTAATACATTTATTTGTGTTATATAACATTTAATTATTGCAGGTTTGTGTAATATTCTGAGTTTGCATTTCACCGTTTGTATTCATTTTGAGGAATAATGAATCTGTCTTTGAGCAAAAACTCACATTTAGTCTAGAACTACAATAACCATTAGGGATGCACCGATACCACTTTTTCCAGAACGAGCCCGATAACGATACTTTCATTTTTGGTACTTGCCGATACCGATACCTGTATTTTCCCTGAATTTGTATATTGGCTAGAGAAACCAAAAGAATATGAGTCATATTAGTTGTCTTAATTATTTAGTAAATATATATTTCCTTAAGCATGTTAAAATATGAGCTTATGTTACTTTCACTGTTCATTCTATTGCTCTATCATAAATCTATCATTTAATTGCACAGCACATATTTGGAGCTGCTCCAGCAGGGCTTAGTGCTGATGATTGGGTTAGTGGTTCAAATGTTTACAGTGAAATATCACAATTCTCTATTACAATTTTGATACTACATTAAAAACTACTAGCTTAAAACATTATTAAAGACAAGTAAGCAATCAGTAATAAAATAACAACAAATAATCAAATAACAAATAGCACAACTAACTACAATAGAACAAAGAAAGGCTACAAATGAAATAAACAGCTGTTTGGGGGGGGGGGGGGGGGGGGGGTTCAGGTAGGTCTAACAGTAGTTTACAGGTACATAATTTGAATAAAGTAATCAAATGTGAAATAATACTGCATATTAATCACAGTATAAATTAAATGTAGATGAATCTTTATAAAGTTACAAAAGTAATTCAGTCAATAGCAGTGAGTGATTACTTTGTATTTTGTAGTTTGATTAACAGTAAAAAAAACAACAACACAGCAGCAGGTTTATTAGGCGGCTGTCCCTTTAAGACCAAATGCACGGATCCGATATAGCCTGCCCTACTGTACATGCGTTTTCTTTGTTTACGTTCATTAAGATATAACCACCTATGTTTACCAGGATACTCGCCAAGAGGGACATCATTTTGTGTGAATTTGTCCGTTCAAGCACAAGACGTGAAAGAAAAGGCAATTCAATTCGTGCGCTGTCTGTGGCTGTAACATAAATCACGTAACAGTTAATATTTTACTTGCATATACGATTTAGTTTTAATCCAAATGAGGCATGTGTACTGAGTGAACGATCAGCAATCAAGAGCATGCAACAGAAGTGTGCGCTCTCTCTCTTTCTCTCCCGTCAGTTAACGGTCGTAATATATGCCTCGTTTTACCTTCTTTGCCATTTACATATACGACCGAACTACAAACTTCCCACTGATGTCTGTGAAAAAGGTATACGCTCAACAAGCTTGCGTGTCTGTGCCGCTGCGCTCTCAATCCACTGCGCGTTTTTTGGCTAATCAGCTCGTGCACCACAGCTATGTAGGCGTTACTATATTTTGTTTAATATTCCACTAATTAGATACATTTACTTCATAGACAGCCTTCTCTTTTATCCCCATTATACTCTTTGTTGTCAGTGTTTCTTTGTCTGGACACAAACATTGTACATACGCTATCGGTTGTTTGTATCGGAGCATTTTTTATGAGTACAAGTATGAGTACACAAGCGCAGTATTGGTGCATTAATAACCATCCTAATAACCATCATGTTCACTGCACATACTCCCGATTTCTCTCAACATGGGGACAGGGGAGGTGGTAAAACAAAGTAACTTGAAAATGTAACTCTGATATTTTGTTGCAATTTTAAAAGTAGTTTGTTAGATTACTAGTTACTTGAAAAAAAGTAATCTGATTACGTAACTCCCGTTACTTGTAATGCGTTTCCCCCAACACTGTTCATCAGTTCTTTTGACATCAGTGCTTTAATGTGTCACATTAGGCAGTGTTTAAAAGTCAGTGGATGCATCTCACATGAGAGGCAGATATGTGGTGTTAAGATCTTTTTTCTCTTAATTAACAGCAAACAGTATGAATTTACCCCTATGGGACTAGTTAGGGATTGATGGATGGTAGTTTACACATATACAGAACTTGCCGCTATATTCAGCATTTTGTGTCCATGTGAATTAAGTTCCTAGTGTTTAGTGTGTTAGTTTTTCATTCTCCACCAGTGAACCGCCTCTTGATCTCAGAGACCAGACTGAATACTTGTTGTAGTTGTAGACTAAATCATGCGCTTTACTGTTACATTCTGAGAGTGTACCAAGAAAATCAGTTCACCCTCAAATTATGTCTTTGACTGAGTGTTGGAAGTGGAGCTATGGGTGCAGTTAAATTTAATGAACCCAGGGAGAGTGACTCTGCCATATGTATAGATGTCACGGTCAGACCCCTGGTTCATCCTCTTTACCAGGTTCTTCTCGTATAATAATGGGTGGTAGGCACCTAGGGTGCAGGCAGCATCACTGAAGCGCTGGTAGTAGTGGCACAGCTCAGTTTTCCGTCGCGAAGGCAGGAACTCATACACATGTACCACTTCACAGAGGGACATCATTAAAACTGTGCCTATGGAGGTAGAAGGAAAAAATATAGGTACATACAAAATCCAGCACTGTTTGACAAGTCAAGGCCCTTTTCAAAAAAATGGATATGGAAAACAATTGTTCATACCCTCTGAATAAATGGTGAGAAGAAGTATTACCTCAGCTATCGACAACATTGTCTTGCTTCTTTTAAAATTGCGGTGAAAAAGACTAGGTGTTGTTTTTATTCCACTATATTGAATACGTCAGCTATATTCACTCTTAGATTATTAGATCATTACACTAGCTTCACTCAAAACATAGCATGCTGTGGGCATCTGCTGGTTAAAGCCGTGTAAATGTAACAAGAACAGCAAAAACATGTTCAATGACGTTGTACACACTTTGAAACTGCAGCGCGCGAGCTTAGAATAAACAGACCGTTATCGTTCATTGGTGTGGACGCAAATATAGTTATTGTTATCTTTTTAGTTATCGTTCTTGGTGTGAACTGCCCTTTAGGAATGAAACGGTTACCGGTTTTAAGATAAACCTTGATAAAAATTCTAGTGGTGGGGGAAAAAATCGATTCTGTTCAGTATCGCGATATTTTGCGGACGCAATTGTATCTTTCCCTGTGGATTTCTTGCACCAAGCAGTAGACACAGAAGAGAGGCAGATCTCTTATCTGCATTTAAATAAGTCATTAACAACTAGTTGTTCAGCTTGGTTACGTAAACTGCGTAAGAATCTTTTTTTTTTTTATGTGGTTGTCACTACCTGCCTTTTTGGGGAGTTAATTCAGTTGTAGAATGCAATTGTCGCTTCCATAAATTACTAAACTGTGTACTGAACAGGATTAAACACTAAAAGGTGAATTGACAATTAGCTGCAGTGTGTACATGACCATAGTTTATGGTTTCTTAAGCATTTATGATAAGATTTCTGTTTTGTTTTATAAAAAATCTTAATAAAACTTACCCAGCAGGCCCGATGAGGGTGGGTTTTTTTGTATAGTCTCGTCCATATTGTCTTGTATTCGCTGCCACAGCTGCCATTCCATCCGTGGGTGTATAATATAAAATGGCTGTTGAGGGTGTAAGCGTCGATATCGCTGATACTGTTTAAATATTGGGTAATCTGTCTTGTTGAACCACTGAAAGCATAACAAAAGGAGGATTATTAAATTTCCCCAAATTTCATTAATGAAATCTGGAATGCTTACAAATATTAGTAAAAATAAATATATATATATTAGAGTCAACATGAAACCATTTGTAGCCCATTTTACTTGTGTAATTTGTGATGTAGGATATTCAGTGAGAAGAAAATGTATGTGTAAACTTGATTAGATCACAGGGATTAAAATTCTCCGTCGCTACGACGGATTTCCGTTAATTGCAGCGAGTCTAAGACGGATTTCCCTCAATTGCAGGGTTCCCGTCTGTCCTTAATGTCTTAAATTCACTTTTCATAATTTTAAGGCTGTAAATAGGCTTACATTTCTCAAATAGTGTAATAAATGTCTTAATTTTAGTTTGAATAGGTCTTAAATTAAGGAAAGACGAGGTGTATTCATCCTGCTAAGGGGGATGTGATCAAAGCCTGGAGTGGAGCGAAAGCACGTTCCTCTCTCCACTTTAAGCGTTCTGTAATCACTCCGCTCTGGATCCACTCCGGGTTTTCCATTCCCGCTCCGTGTTCACTCCATTTGAAAAGTTATTCTAATGTTTTTTTTTTTATATCACGAAGAACGTCTGAACACAACATTTATAATACTATATGTAACGGTTTGGAAAGTATTCTACACGTTTAATAAATAGAATTGTCCAAATGTAGTGAACGCGCCTATAGAGAGAAATGCAAATTTTATACGGATTACATAAGAAAGTAGTCTGTTTCTTTTCGTTTTGAATTGTTTTGTTTAAAAGAGACATTTCAAGCTTTATATAGATATATTTCTCATGCCTGTGAAGTAGCCTATACACTGAGTTTCGGTTCATTTATGAGACCAGCTCCAGTTCACGAGCAATGCAAGTGATTGCGCTGGTGCCTTGCATGTCCTGATTATATTGTCTGCTATATTTGCTTCTCATTTATTAAATCTAGGCAATTGGTTGATGAAACATTGATTAAAATTAAGATACACTTTATACAAAATTATACTATCGCTAGCTTAATTCCTAGCGATCATCAAATATTATTTTTGCTTGAAATGCCCATCCCTACCATAAATGCACTTTTTGTTCTGATGCTGGTGCTATCAGTTTCCGTCTTCTGTTCAGTGTTAACAGGTTGAGTTAGAACATGCGTCATAATTTCTTATTATAATGCTGAGGATAAAACTGAATTTATTATTATATTAGCTAGGTTAAAAACAGATATTATATATAGTTTGTGATATTAGCTCACTTTGCGGCAAAAGCTCTATAGGCTTTTATTATATTTTATTTAAATGCAAATGTTCTTTGAGTATTTCATTTGTGAAAGTAAAACATTAACTCTTTATACTCCTAATTACAAGAAGAAAAAACTGCTCTTAAACTGGGTGTGTGACAGGCTGTGAAATGGGGTTTGGCCAAGGAAAAATATTAAATAATATGAAAAGATTTTTTGTTGCTTTAACCCCTGAGATCTTGAAAAGTACTGTTTCCAAGTGGTGTTCTAATATTAATTTTGTCCAGCTGTATGGAGAAATTGTATTGTTGACTTGTGCTAGGAAGAAAAAAGCTCAGCATCTCCCCGTCAGGGACTTGAACCCCGGTCTCGCCCCCGCGTGACAGGCGGGGATTACCACTATACTAACGAGGAGTGGCTTAGTGGTCACGTGCTTCAAAAACTACACTTCATCAAACTAGGACTTTGTGGTGAAATCTTCTAATTAAGCATGTTTTTTGGAATTTTGTGAGTTTGCCAAATGCTTGACAGTGAAATATGGTGAGCTCTTACCTCCCGTAGATCAGACGAATAAGGGCCAGGATCCCAGCTCACTAAAATCCCTGCACTGTACAAAGAACTGGAGAGGAAATGGTGGTCTTCAGATGCCATTACCTATGCAATAAACAGAAATTATGGTATTTTAAGAGATCGTTACTACATGTCATTTTAACCTTTCCAGAGTTAGCAAACAATTTACCTGGGAATTGATCAGTCGCACTGTTGTTTTAGAGCCCACATCTTTCTCAAAGCCTGTTGTCGGTGCGGCATTGAACCGTATCACCGCATCATGTGTATCTAGATTTCAGGATTTTTTTTAGTAATAATGCCTCATGCATGCATAAAATCATCCAATTTTTCATAATATCAAAGAATGACATATTACATACATATACTGGGGTGCACATAACCTTTTTGGTCTGGTTCTCAAGGGAGCACCTGGAGATGCTTCTTGGTACTCACATTTTACGCGACACACTTATCCTACAAGCTATCATCATCACTTTTCTCCTGACTGCTCTCCTCTCTATCTTTTCTCTCGAACATTGTAGGTGATGATGATGGATTTAAACGATTTATTTTAATATATTAATGACAGACAACAGCAGGGATATTAGGCTGCTGTCACTTTAAGACTGAATGCATGGACCGAATATACTGACACACATCCAGTTTCTTTCTCAACGAAAGAATTTGCCGAGACGGGTATTTTGACATTTTGTGTGTTTGTGTCCGTTCAAGCGCAAGTAAACGCAAAAGAGGAGTCAATTCAGTGTATGAGCGCTGTCTGAAATGCACCTCTCTCTCTCTCTCTCTCTCTCTCTCTCTCTCTCTCTCTCTCTGTGTGTGTGTGTGTGCGATTCCCAATTTTTGCCTCGTTTGAATCAAGTTTATTTTCGTAAACGAAAACTGAAACTAAGACAAACTATTGTAATAAAATAGAAATTTCAACATAAACGAAAAACTAAAACGAAACTAAACAAACAACAGTTGCTGACAATAAATATAATTAAGTTAAACTGAAATAAAATAATAAGAAAATTATTTAGCAAAAATAAATAATCGTTTTCGTAATTAATAATCTCTCCATCATGTACCGGAAAACCACACTGAGCAGAAAACAGAAAAAACAAATAGCATGTCTGGTCCACAAATAGACGTATATTTGTCAGAGTAGAAGTAAACTAAATGTCTGGTCTGAATAGAACACATGAATATGAGTATAACTATGAGTATATGATATTAAAAGATGCAATAGACAAAAAGCATAAATGGATCAATACAAGAATAATGTTTGAAAGGATTACAATATTTAATTTTTAGTATGAATGAATAATTTTTACTTTTAAGTTGCATTTGTTTGGTTCTTTGTTCAATCTCAAACAATTATTTTATTTTTATTAAGAGGTTTGCACAAGAGTTAACTGTAAACTGCTAACATTAAACTTTGCTGAAATTAAATGTCTTTAACTGGAAGTGAAATGAACACACTTATCATCATGATTGCCCTCTTACCAGAGATGGCGAAACATCCTACTCCAGTAAGTAAACGTGTCCCTGTCCCCAAAAATGATGGTACTCAAAAGCGCTTCCCTCCACGTTTTCTGCTGCACATTGTTTATTTTTTACCACGCATGCGCACCAGTTATGTGCACCCCTCTGTGTGTGTATATATATATATATATATAGACACACATACATACATACATACAATATATTATTTTATATCTGGAAATTCAAGCCAAAATGCTTTATTATATAACCTTAAAGTAATATCTAATGATGTAAATTACTTTGAAAAATATCTAATCTCTTCTTTTTTTTAAGTTGATGGATGCAAAACAATATAGGATTATGTAAAACAAAACATTCTGTCATCAATGCAATGTAAAACAAAGGTTATAATTTATAATAATAAAAACACCGGATATGAATAAAGAAATAGATCCAGATTATGTTATGAATTATAATGGATTACCTATTTCCTTTCCTAATCCAGAGTTTTTGAGAGAACCTGCAGATGATACCACTGCACAGGTCTTAAATGGGCCAATATCAGTGGTTATTTGATGCAGAGGTAACTGAGAGGCCCAGGGCAAACCAGAAAAGGGCTCCATATCCGGTGTTAAAGTTGTAATCTGAACCATCTCCTTGATTTGACAAAGAAGTTCAGGGCCACTGAGTTTGGGACGATGTGCTGCAGGTCCAGGGTACTTGACTCCATATTTATTCATTGCCTTAAATGAAAACAAAAAGGCTATGATAGATAGGTATATCACATTTATTACAAGAAAGTAAGGTAGGTAAGTAGTAGGGTTTTGTATCTCAGAGAGTCTATTTACACCAAGTGCAAATAACCCACCTTGGTGGCAAAGGCTACCGTATTTACACTAATTCCCTCCTACCATTGTTTGATTGAGCCAGACAAAATGACAAAAGTAACCCATCTAATGACATCTGATGGTGAGGAGAGTAAGATGGGGGCGTAAGCTTTTGACGCAACCAACCTGAGTTGATAATCCGATTGCCGGATTTTAAGAAATATGATCATATACACTGATAGAAGTAGAGCTTCTTCCTCAGAGGATTATGTAAAATGGATTAACTGAAGAGACTTCATGCCTTGCTGATCAGCAGTCTTTGCAGTTTTTTACTGTTTTTATATAGTAAAGGCTTTTAGATGTCTTTCAGTTTCGCTCACCTGGTAGTTCTGCACCACCTTCCTCAGCCTTTTTCCCAGCATGGTGCTTGACATCTCCTCATTCCAGACTTCTCCGAGTGCTCCATTAGGCCCAAAAACAACAGCATCCCCACTTGAGGCACCCTCTCCTCTCCGTTGGCCTCCAAAAATAGTCTCTAAAGCACGTCTCAGCGGTTGCGCCAAAAGCCAGTAAAATAACCCATGCTCTCTTCTTTTTCCCCTGAGGCTGCGGTCCTTGGAACTGCTCTCCATTGAGTAGTTAGAAGATGACAGGATGGGAATAGGCTTCTGAGGATCTCCAGGAATGACACCTGGGAGCTTTTGAGGGTCAGTATACATGGGTTTTGACCCTCCTGTTCCCCGCAATACCTTCGATAGATCAATGTCACTTTTAGTAATAAAGTATTTTTCATTTTTTACTTAATAGAGTGCTGCAGGGATGACGTAATTTTGTAGGCTAACCTGGAAGTTAGCATCACTCTGGTTCCCTAGACAAGAAGCCAATAGCGTTTTTTCCAGTAACTTGGATTATTGCCGAAAATTAGCTCTTACAAACTTTATTTAAAATCTACAAATAGGAAAATTTAAGTTAGAATAGTTTGCAAGAGCACGATTATAAACACAAGGCTGTAAAAGCCAACTATAGTGTAGATGACTTTTCCTCTTCGTGATGATGTTTAACTCTTTCCTCGATTTCTAAAAAAGTTGCCAGCCAGCACCAGCATTTTTGATCATATTCACAAAACGTTCATGGCCCCAAGGATATTTTGTTGTATGAATATGTAAACAGTCAATATATCAAAAGACGTTGAAAAAGAAGTTTCATTACAACAACATTTTGATAAAAAAGCTGAGAAAATCATGTTTTTGTCCAGTCTATCAACACCCTCCAAGCTTGCACACTCGTATACTTCTTTGTGGTTTCTACATTTCATTTGGTAACGTTGACAGTTTTTATTTATATGCTGTTGAATGTTTGATGATTGCTTACTTGTGCGTAAGCAATCTACTATCCATTCCTTCTGGTTTACACAGATCTTCTTCACTTGTTTTTGGATCCCGAGGTGCTGTACTATAACATTGCCCCCTACCGTATAAGAGTGAAAACATGGATTGCCGGAAAAACTCATCAATGGGCGGGAAAGTGTTAATGTCCCCGACAATCTCTGTAATCCCATTTTAGTCACTTGTTTGCCGTCTTTTTAAAGACAAAATCAATCTTAACAAAATCTCAAGTGATGTACTGTTGATGTATTTTATGGCATAGAATAAAACGCATATATATCTTAAGCTTGTCTTAACCACAGATCTTATTTCAGGCATTTAACCAAAAAACACTGACTTTGGGATGATGGAACCGGATGTGCAAAAAACCCCTAATTTTATTGTTTTAAGTCTCATTCCTACAGCACTCTATTGTGCAGATTCGATAGAACAGGAAGCAGCGTGAGAAAAGGAATCTCTTTGACATACCTTAACAATTGTGTGTGCTCTTGGTTGAGCTCGAGTTCTCGCCTTCACGCCAAAAATGGCATCTGTGACAGGTATGCTGTTTTCAGCGCAAAAGGTGTACAGGAGAGCCATAGTCATACAGAACAGAGCCATGCACAGGGCTCCTCGACGGGCCCGACGTCTCAACCTCCAGAGTAGGCTAACACGATCCATGGCAGCCCCTGGGATCTGGATAATGAATTACAGACAATATTAGAATATTAAAGGATGACCTCTGAAAATGAAGTTGGCAGCTGCATAGAAGCATATGAATAGATTCAGCTGAATTGAAGACATATAAAAATTGTTTAAAAATATTTACTTTGAAGCTCTAGTAAACTCAATCTTTGTGCAAGGAACAGACCATGTTAGAAATTAAATTAGTGTGAAGGGAAAAGCATGTTCAATATACCAGAGAATTGCTGTTTTTTGTAGATAATATAAATGTTTATATACAGGACCTAAAACTAACTTTTTGCCAGTGATCGCACACTGACTGACATTGCTTTTCTGGGTTCCGTTTTGATTGTTTGCACACAGAAAACTTCCTACATCCAGCGGATAACAACAGCTTTAAAACCATGTCAGTGGGCAGTATTATTTGTCAAGCAGATAACATATTTAAACAAAAGAATCAGGTTAAATGTTGCAATGAATGATCCACAAACTGGAAATACAGAACATGGTGCTGTGATGTGATGAACAACAAAGCGAATACAAAAATCTGAATGGCTGTTTGAAATATTTTAATGCTGTTCAGCAGCCTGCTTTGTTTACTGTTACCGGAGTAATGGGTGCATTTCTGTTGTTCCATAAGCGCCATCTACTGTCAGAGAGTGAATGTGTATTTTCATTCAGTGCGTCTCCTTCACTCGTTCCATCTTGCTGCTCTTGCATGTTGTGCTTGTTTACATCAGTGTGCGTATGCACATTCATTATTAATCTTATGCCTGATGAAAACTGCTTCGTTAATGTTTCTTGTCTCACATTGTTACGAATTACAATGAATTACGTAAATTATATATTTTAAAAATAGCTAAATTAAACAAAAGTTTATTAGTTTGCGTAACTAATTGTATTTCTGTCTGTCGTTTAACATTTCTATTGTAAAACAGCCGTCAAATATTTTATTTGGAGTTTAGCTACTTGCATATTATCTCTCACTTTATGACCATTTACTGAAGCAATGGAATTCTTGATCAGCATTCAGCAGCTTCTGTAAATATAAAGCCCGCCTACTTTGATTTGATTGGTCATCTCAAACATTTTGACATTGATGATCTGTGTTTGACCACTGGCGGTAGCTCGGATGAGTAGGTCGGTTATCTTGGCTGTGTGCAATATTCGTGTAGCACCAAAGCAGAGTTAGTATTGGGTAATTATCACTACCTTTATTATATACACCTCAGAAAAAAGTCTGGACCTTGGGGACCTCAATGGTGGGTACGGCCCTGGTTGGGTTAACTGTTGTGTTAAATATGTAACATGCTGTAATAAGTTTGCTTCAGTTGACCTACATTTAAGCTAGCAGAGTTTAGTAATGCAGTTCAGCTCTCTGGAGTACATTTGAAACCTGCCAATGCCTTAAAGGGAGCAGACAAATTGGTTTAAGAAATTGTGGTAGTTCCATTGGTGTTGGCCCAGAAAATACCTTTTTAACTAAAGTAATATTTTTACACAGAATATTATAATTTTAATAATTATGCCCAGAATAAAGGGTCCATAAAATAATTGTAGTTATCCAGAACATCAGTTTTATGACGGTAACCAAAACTTCATACATGATGTGTAAAGAGTGCTTATCAATTAATACATACGGGTGCTCTCTGGATAAGGGACATTCAGCTCAAGACAAAAATGGTAGTGCAAGGTACTCAAAGTAGGATTTAAATTGCAAAAAGCCTTTATGAAATCATGGCTTGCAACCTTACAAAATTAAAACTACCACGTACCGTGATGTTACAGCTAAGAAACTTTGGTCAGAGTATGGGAGAGTATCAATGAGTCTTATAAGGTTTCGTTAATAATAGTGTCGTTTGTTTAGGTGTTCGACTTTATGCGGCACTGCGCAGACCAATCGGCAAGAGTTGCCGCTTGCAGTCAGGGGCGGAATTGTCAAATACACAATTTGTTTAGGTGTTCATGCGGCAGTGCGCAGACCAATCGCCAAGAGTTGTTTCTTGCAGTCGGGGGTGGAATTGAAAACTGTATAAAAGTAATTATATGGGTTTTATTGAACAACACTGTTAAAATACACTATGTTAAATATATGATATAAACTAATATAGACATAAATTATGTACATTACGTATTATAACAAATGCCTGCAGATGGCGCCAACGGCCTGGTGTTAGTTGTTGTTACACTACGGCATTATCAAATGCTTTAATATTGGCCAAACAACATTTAATTCAAATTTCCACTTAATATTTAATATTTGGTCACTTCTGTACGATAGAAATGCAACAGCCGCTGTAATTTCTTGAACAAGAACATGTGCACATCAAAACATACAAACTCAGAGCGAGAGTTTAAACTTTTATTTTGAAATCGCGATGAACAACAATTTGCATATTTAGAAACATATTTATGTATTCTCCTGTGTTGGCGTAGATTTACTAATGAGGTACGTTACAAATCTTGTGAAATGGCGCGTTATAAGCAACCCAAACTCGAACAGAGATGGAGTTTGTGAAACCTGAGACCCGATCCACGCATATAAATGATATCAGTGCAACTAAAGCCCTATTCACACGGGATAAGTATTACCTGGGGACCACGTGTGATTTAGAAATTACCCGCCCCCCACATCTGAATTTCGTGTGGCGCATTCGCACGGGATAAGTGAAGCCTGTGATTTTACTCGAATTTACTGACATAATACTGACTAATAATACCCCGGGCGGAGTAAAAAAAAAAAAAAAAACATTCCCAATCTGAGCTCTGTCACTAGCCTCACAATAACTACAGGTACTGTAGGTGGCAGTTGTCGCGAGGTTAGTGTGTGAGGTCAGATGATGAGTGACAACGCGGGGAAAACAAAAAACAAACGGATGATGGACGCTATGACAGAGCAAGGCACTCCTGTCATGAGTCTGGTAGCCTCCTGTCTCCCTCTTCTGGTCACACACACCCATTACCTCACGCACCTTCAGTACCCTCAGCTGTTTCTAGTTATACCCTCATTACACTCATTCCTTCACACCTGTTCTCTCTTCTCCCTGATTGTTTGTGCTATTTCCTGCTCTCCCTTTTCCCTGTTTCTTTGCCAGATTATTACATTCTCTACACATGCAAGAGGCATCTTTCTATCTGCTGTATCCGTCCTGTCCGAGTCCTGTCCGAGACCTGTCCGTGTTCTATCCGCCATCCAGCCTGGCTCAGGTCGGTCTTTATTTGTTCTCTATTAATCTCTGCTCTACACTCTGTCCAGGCCGCCTGCTGCAGACGATCGCCCAGAGCATTCATCTCTACTATCTGTAGGACGCTCATTCTCTCAAGGGGATCAGAGAACAGCGCCCGCCGGTTCCTGTTCTCAGACTGTTTGCTGCTGTCTACTTTAAGGAGAGACTTTATCATTTTCGTTATTGGAGCGCCTGCATCTACGGCTACCTTTCTGTTGTTTATCTTGAAGGATTTTTCTGTTGGACTGAATTTATCTCTCGCTATTAAAGAGACTGTTATCTGCAATTCGCTTTTGGGTCTTACCTTTCCACATTACAGAATAATCTGGCCAGACATGGACCCAGCGAACACGAGCCCGATTCATACAGCCGTTGAACTGCAAGGAGCCATGCTTGGCAAACATGATGAGGAGATTACCACTGCACGTCACGCGGTTCAGACACTGACTGCCCAACTCACTGATCTGTCTCTACAGGTGCAGCAGCTCAGGTGGGATCCTCCGGTTCCTCCAAGGTCATCAGAAGCCCCAGAGCCCAGAGTAAATAACCCCCCATGTTATGCCGGTGAGCCCACTCAGTGTCGTTCGTTTCTCACGCAGTGTGAGGTTGTTTTCTCCCTTCAGCCGACCACTTACTCAAGGGAGCGAGCCCGGGTGGCTTACGTCATCTCCCTCTTGACCGGACGCGCTCGTGAGTGGGGCACCGCCGCCTGGGAGGCTGAGGTAGAATTTACCACTTGTTTTGATTTATTCAAGGAAGAGATGATACGTGTGTTCGACCGTTCTGTTCATGGTGAGGAGGCGTCTCGCGTCCTTTCATCTCTCCGCCAGGGAAGATGGACTGTTGTGGATTATTCTATTGAGTTCCGCACCCTGTCAACCACCTGTGGGTGGAATGAGCCAGCTCTTGTCGCACGTTTCTTAGAGGGGCTGAGTGCAAACGTCAAGGATGAGGTAATCGCCCGCGAACTCCCTACCCGTCTTAACCCTCTCATCAACTTAGCCATCCGTGTAGAGAAGCGGTTTGATCTCCGCCGTTGCACCAGAGGATCGGATTCCTTCACTCAACCGGCTGTTTCGACTATCTCCGCTCATCTTTCCACCAACCCAGAGCCAGAACCTATGCAGCTTGGTGGTCTCCGCATTTCTGCCAAGGAAAGGGAACGCCGCGTCATCAATCGTCTTTGCATGTATTGCGGGGCGGCCAACCATTATGTTTCTACATGTCCGGTAAAAGCCAGCGCTTGCCAGTAGAGGAGGGATTACTGGCGAGCGCTACCTCTCTGATCTCTCCATCGAAGTCATGCACCATCATTCCTGTAATCCTGCACTGGTCTGACTCCTCCGTTTCTTGTAACGCTTTGATAGACTCTGGTGCTGAGGGGAACTTCCTTGACGAGACTTGGGCACTTAAACAAGGTATTCCCCTGAAGAGACGCGAGGAGGCCACTCCTCTTTTTGCCCTAGATGGTAGTTCCCTTCCTGAGGTTCATCTGCGGTCCATTCCCTTATCTCTCACTGTGTCAGGCAACCATCACGAGTCTCTTTCTTTTTTAGTTTTTCACTCCCCCTATTCCCCAGTTGTACTAGGACACCCCTGGCTAGTTAAACACAACCCTCACATTGACTGGTCCAATAATAATATCCTCTCATGGAACCTGTCTTGTCATGTCGAATGTTTATTGTCTGCTAATCCTCCTGTTTCCCCCGTCTCTGTGTTTCAGGAGGAGCCGGGTGATTTGACTGGGGTTCCGGAGGAGTATCACGATTTGCGGGCGGTCTTCAG